TTTTTTTTTTTTAAATACCGGGATACTGTCGTGTGGCCGTGTGACTTGATGTTTGTACTGCGATTTGGTATACCAAGCTTTATTAAACATACCGAGTTCATTTTTAACTAAACCTGTGTACCTTGTCTCTCTTGCTGTGTCTCTTATTAGGCGATTAGGTTGCCGCTTCACTCCATCCTGCTCTGCATCCCCTTCCTGCTCCCACTCCCCATGAGTAGAACTGGAATTAACCTAGTCTTGGGTACTCTCTATTATTCAAATATCCCTGCTAGCGACTGTCCTTCGCTGCCTTTGTCAAGATTAAAGCCTAGGCCTCTCTCTCCCCCTCACCTTCGCTCTCTTAATTTTGTTTTTTATTTTGTTCATCCCTTCTCCCCCCCCCCCCCCGCTCCCTCTCTATTGCTTCCGCTCTCGGCCGGCTCGCTGGAGGCGGGCAGGTGCCCTAGGAGGGTGCTCGGTCCTTCCCGCGCCCCCGCGAGGGTGCTGAGCCCAAGGTCGCCGCCATTGGAAAGCCGGAGAGTTTCTTTTTTCGTTCTCTGAAATGCATATTTAAAGTCTCTTTTTCGGCTGGCGATTTTTTTGTTTTTTTTTTTTTTTTTTGCCAGCTGCCCAGGCCTACGTAACCCACAGTGTTCAAGGATGTGGCAATTACTGCATTAAATTTGACTCGGTGCCTTCCCTCCCCCACCTTCACCCCAGTTTTTTTCCTTTTGGCTTTTTTTTCTTTTTTCTTTTTCTTTTTTTATCAGCCTGTCATTAGTACTTCAGTGGGAAAAGAGATTATTTGAGACTTTTTCCTCCAGAGGCACAAGGGGTTTCTGTTTTAGAGCGCACTCATTAAATAATAATTGTGGGGAAAGGTCATTTTAATGAGCGCTCGGCTCCCACAAGAAGGTAGCTCGTCTGGGCTGAATGCTAAGCGAGAGCATCCCCAGTTGTTATCGTTTAAGTTACACGGCAGATCTGGATGTAGCACAGCGACAGCCTTGTAGCGTTTCGCACTGCTCAGACAGCTGTTAATACAAGATGGGACAGGATAGTTTTTTTCTGGTTTGGTTTTTTTTTTTTTTAATTTTTTTTTTTAAACTTAATCTCTTCCATGCACCTCTTTGGTTTTTCCTCCCTCCA